ATGGAGTTGCCTCAGTAGAAGTTCTTGATTGAATATCGTAGCCTCACAAAGCAGAATTGGCAGGATTGTCTGGCGCATGATCCCGATATGGTTCCCACCATTTTCTGCTTTGAGGTGTTGTGCGCTTGAATTCTTTTGCTGGCCTCAACCGCTTCCGTTGGTTGCGGCGATACTGTAGGATCACTTATGTGAAAGAAAGCACATTGTAGTTTCTCAACAACGTCTTATTAACTGTCTTTCTGAATGGGAAAAACCGATTATCTGAAAATGTTTTATCTTCTTGGCATCTCCTTCTCTAGCGACAGGATGATGTTGGTCCTGATAACTTTTTGCTGACGCTGCGACGCGTCGGTTCAAACACGCGCGGGTTGGGGGGGTATGTGTATTGGCGCCCGACCTCTCTTTTGTGATTAATCTTATCGCTAGCTCTAGAGAAAAACTCAGTTGTCTTCCGTTTGGACCGGCGCTGTGCGGTGGTGGCATTTTTTCATATGGGTATAACAGCTGCTCTCGAATTACATCGAGAGTATTTTCTCTCCTCTGTACTCTAAATGTATGCACATGGCGAAGTCATGTTGTACAGCTTTGACGCGGATGTTCATGCGGTTTGCATAATTAGATACCCACCTTGTGTGCATGCGCCGAACGAATAACTAAGTTACAATCTCCTCCTTATAATGCGTTGAACCAGTGAGTAGCCCTTGCTGTAGTATCTTTTTGGCCAGCTGTACTTCCATTCATATTGCTCCCACTCTCCTCCCGATGTATGGCTTTGCCATCAGCGTTTTGACTCGTTTCAGCTTCTACACAGAGCTTATGCTTATTTCCCAGATGACCCCTTTTGTACCAATGCTTACGCCGCCGCAGCTGCTACTGCTCTTCCTTTTACTGACTTGCGCGTTCATGCTTCAAATCAAATTCGGAGAGCAACAGCAGCCAACGAGCTAGCCTACCCGTAAGTGCTGGTTTCTCGAAGAGATATTTGATGGGATCTAATCTCAAAACCAGAATTACAGAGTGAGCTAACAAGTAGCGTCTTAATTTCCTGGTAGCCCATACCAAGGCTGGGCAAGCTTTCTCTAGCGGGGTGTAATGGGTCTCGTAATTCAACATTTTCTTGCTCAAGTAATAGATGGCTTTCTCCACCTTATTCTCAGATTCCTGAGCAAGCATGCATCCCATCGTTGTGTCCGTTATCAAAAAATACAAAATTAAAGGCTTCCCCGGCTCTGGCGGCGACAACACAAACGAATTCTGGAGGTGTTACTTGACTTGCTCAAAAGCGAATTAACATCCATCATCCCATCGGAATTTCTTCCCTCTCTTCAGGAGACCAAATAGTGGTTCACAAGTCAAGGTTAATTTAGAGATAAACCGTCTTATGAATTG